TTTTTATAATCAAAACACACTTAAACTTGTCTCCAACAGCACTTTGTGTCTCGAAAACTTCCATTTTTCACATATTATTTTCGTGGAACAAAATTATACGTCCGTGAACGTTCGAACAACATGTTTTACAATCGCGTCTACGTCGTTTTTTCTAAGCAATAAAGTGTTCCATTGTCAAGCAGCCCTGAAACTTGCAAACGGACATGTATAGAGAGAAATAACAACAGATAACGATATTATAGTATCGGGTACGCAATCGGCAGGTGCTTGAAAATAACCCAATTTGTCAACTAAAATTTCAACCTAAATATTTGTTATTTTCCATTGTTATAAGTAATATGAAGTGCTTCATAAGTTTCCACCCTGGAATTGTACTTTTGAAATGAACAGGTTAAAGTGTTTAGCCATGATTTTTTTTTCAAGTATGCGTTAAACGTACAAAGAAAAAAAATTTTATTAAAAATATTCGTGCAAGAAAAATATTAGGTAATTTTTATTCATTTATTATTATTATTTTTTTATACGTTATAATTTGATAAATAATAATTTGCTTTTGTATACAAGGTATGCGAAGGTAAGGGATTAAAATGGTCGACCCTTGTTCAGACTTGTGTACAAAAAATGCATTAAATACGAATGCGTTAACGAAAACTAAAAAATTAATTTAATTTTTTTTTTCAAGTCAATTTGAAAAAAATGAAATAATAATAATAAAAATATTTGGAGGGAATAGTAAACGCTTTAACATAGAACGTGTGTATTGTTGGTGACCTCTCCGCGTTTTATTTCTCTCGGACACGACACTGGCAGCATATATAAATAATATAACATTATATTGACATGCACACGATACGGTTATTAAGCGACAAAATTTACAGGGTGGGCTATAGGAAGTGAGATAAAAACAGATATAAATCAATATATTTTAGACGTACAGACATTTTATTGATATTTTATTATTTGTAAATAAGTACCATTTCTTATTTAAAAAAAAAAAAATATCTGGTATATGAATCCCATATTCTTTGTAGAATGAAACTAATCGATTCAAAACATTTGAATTAACACGTTGAAGCAATTCTTTATTAATTATTGAAATTTCAGTTATACTTGTATCCTAAGGTTATTCAGGGTGCAAGGTTTTGATGCATAAACGCGTGACAAGATATTCTCAAAGGAAAATGTCGCACACTGTCAAGTCAGGTTCCCTAGAGGCCCTAGATGCATTTCCTCAAAACGTGATATGAGGTGACTGGTGAACATCTTAATGGTATACATTGGAGGAGGGAGACATATCCCCCTTGGCATTTTCGTGTTTATCATGCATTTGTACGTATACTATTATAATTATTAATTTGTATTCGATTTATTTTGTCAGCTAATCTTATCTGTCAAGACATTACCACGGAAGAACAAAATCATAGATTTTGAATAAAAACCTATCGATAACGATCGCCGAGAGGAACTTATCATATGTACCCCTCCTTCCCCTGGATTACTGCTGATGGACGCTCTTGATCTTACCTAAGACATTTATTATGTACTGCTGTACTGCTATTATAATATATAACATATGATTTTTTTTAAAACAACACTCCAAAAAATTACTTACGCTTCACTGCAACATAGTGATAACCAAATGGCATTATCTAATGGATCGAATAACCTCATCTAGAACTTTCTACTCCTATTAAGGGCAGAGAAAAACCAGTCTATTTTTAACACTATTCCCGTGGCCCTCCCTATATTGTCCGTCCATGCAGGCACGTTTCGCATGTACGTGTTGTTATATAAGTTACCAACTTAGTGGCCGCATTTGTAACGATGATTGGACAAATTACTTTCGTTACCAACGTGAAAAGAAAAGGGGGACGAAAATTGGAAATTGAAACTTACGTTTTTTTTTAATTTGTATCCGTTATCGTTGACGATGCCGGTAGACGGTAGTACTTAAAAATTATAATTGACCATTATGAATAGTCATTAGCCAACAACGGCATTGGTAGATTTTAAAAGCGAATTATGTGAGGTGCATTTCCGTACGCATTGTAAATAATTGTTACCACTTTCATTAGTGATTTTTATTGTTCATCATCAAATTGTGATACTGTTCTCTCCTCTGCCATCATAACTCTCTACTGACCGACAACATTGACGGCATTTAGCCGATACCGTTAATAAGTAAGTTTCTGTTTTTCTACTTAGTTAAATAATTCACGTAAGTTTATCTAAAGTTTCTATTGTATAAAGTTTACTAGAGAATCTAAATTACACTCTCGTAAACCGAAACCCGAACAAACCTAAAACTAGAGTTGGGCAAAAACAAAGAATAAAAAATAATAGCATGAATAACTAATTTATTTATGAATAAAGAATAATTTTTTATTCTGAATAATTACGGTGTACTGAATAAAGAATACAATTATTTTAAAAAATTGTATTCGTGAATAAAACAATTATTCAGAATAAATGTATTCGCTAAAATCATGAATGATATTTATTAAATATAAAAGTATATTTAATTTATTTTTGTCAATTATTACATGCATTAATATGTATTACCTTTATATATATTATTTAAGTCTATTATTATTATACATCGTTATTTAGGATTACAATTTATTATTTATATGATTATAGGGAATAACGTATAACGAATAATGAATGATGAATAGCGAATTATAATACAAATTAAAATAATGAATAAAAATCAAAAATAAAATTAAAAATAAATCAATGAAGAATAATTTTTTATTCAAATAATTAATCGAATTATATTTTATTCGACTAATGCCCAACTCTGCCTAAAACATGGTATTAACCCTTTAACTGGAACCCGGAAAAATCTACCAACTTTGGTTCCATGGTTGAAGGATATTACGACGTCAATCATGCAATAATAGTTATAATAACAGCTGTCAGTGGCTTCACTTATTTCCGCCAAACCGTATCCAAGTGTCTTCAGTGCGTGCTCTACACAATTTTGTAAACTACGAATTGTTCCCGTTTTCGTTTTTAAAATGTCGATCGAAATCAACAATTGCTCTGTATAGTTGATCTTAAAGGCACACGACATCGCCTTTTTTTGTAACCGATATATATATATATATATATATATATATATATATATATATATATATATAAATATTATTGATGTACAACGATATTATATTTTAATATCGATATCGGACCAATTTTACCGATATCAATGTGACTAATTTATCATAAATACATTCCATTGCCGCCATATTTGTGCAGGTGTCTCGAAATAAAAATAACTAGCATCCAGCGAAAACGTTAAGTTAATCAAAGATAACCGAAAAAACGGATTAAAGTAAAATAAGAAAAATCTACATGATCTACGGAGTTTTATTAGTTGAGAACAAAATTATTGTTCATTACATTTGAAAATATCAAAAATCCAATTGAAACGAATGTTTTTCATAAATAATCGCGAAAAATCATTTATTCGGTTGGTCGTTTTCTACACACTGTATTGCAACATTATACACGTGTGTGTGTATGAGAACGACAACAATAATTGTATATATATATATAATTATATATATATTAAAGTGAAATACAATACCTGCCGTTTGCAATGATTTTAAAATGGTTCCATCGACGACCGCAAAGGCGTTAGACGTGGAAGATATGAGCCGCAACGTAATGCATTTGATATTGAATCTTCATGTTATACAGTTATTGTGGCAAGTGATAAAAAATACAATTTACACGGATTCATCGAGGAAAAGAGAGGACGATGCATAAAAGGATCTTGTTAAAAAATCTATGTTCGATTTAATAATCCGTCGATCGATGTAGGCGGGTGCGTTCGACGGATCTAGATCGAAGTGTTTTTAAAAAAGCGAGTCGGCCGTTCGACGAACAACACGTTTCACACGGCACATCTACAATTTCTAACAATCGTATGGATAAAGGACGATTATTAGATCACGGCCCACGTACATTTTTTATTCGAAGCGTGCTACACATTTCAAATCGCTTCGTACAATTTTAACGTTTATCGGTACTTCAGTTTTTTACGCGGATCGTAAAATTTTAATACTATAATATATATTCTCGTCTCTAGTATTGAACCACAGCTAAGTTATAAAATATTTAAATATATAATACGTGTATATCAGTATTGACATAGCTACAGGTATTAGGTACTTATTTTGTTGTACTGATTCGGTTGTAGCATTAATTTTTTTAAACCAAAATAATAATTGTCGATTCGAACGACCGTGTTTTTGCTTTTTCTAATCCGGTCCACCAGATTTTAATTTTTTCTAATTTGGCGATCTAGTTACTTTACGTTACCCGTCCCAGGGTGTAACCGTATTCGGTTCGGCTTTTGGTGCTAACGTCACGTGGCAAATGTAATCGAGAGAATCGAGTCGAAATCGGGATAGGCCAACAACGTCAATCGCAACCGTGTCATCGTCGACGAGATAACGGACGCTTGAATAATCATCATAACACGTACAATCGAACACCCGTGTGTTGATTCACAACCGAACCGGGTGAAATGAACTCCACTCGAACGATTCCCCGTACCACTTGGTGTTCGATGGCCTCGCGCAGTCGCAACGGGCCCCCGGTAATATCGCAGACCACCGTCGCAAACAAAACAATATCGTGCGATAACGATAATATATTCGTTTTATACGCATGTGCAACGTTTGCTTCGTTTGTTTTTTATATATATATATATATATATATATATTTTTTTAATATTTTTTTATTTTATTTATTTATTAATTTTTTTATTTTTATTTCTTTGTGTGCTTGAGTCCATGACGTTAACACGTTATTTCGATTACGCGCGACATTAACCGAATTGTAGAACCGTCAGTGCTAGTCGAACGTAACAACAACAATAAAAACCAATACCACTATTTCACGGTATCTAATATTGTTATTAATTAAATTTCTATGTAGAAAAAAACGCGTAAAGCATAATTCATCAATGTAATAACCATTATAAAAAAAAAAAAAAAAAACAGTGCTTTATAATATAGTAATAATAATAAAAATAATAATAATATGTGTACACGTGTGGGAATGTGGGTAGGTAACTATGGCCGTCAGAGATAAGGTTCCGTCCAGTACTTGACGGTGGACGGGTACGTTTTGTACTCGAATGATGCGGACTTGGCCCGGCTCCTGCTCTTCACGTCCTTCGGCTTCTGCACGTTTCTGTGCGAGCCGTACACGTTCCGGTTCGACTGCACGGTAATGATGGATTTTTGACTGAGTCCGGTCACCTCCAGGAACGACTCGTAGTTGATGCGGCCCGCACGGTCATCGTCGCGGTCGCGGTCGCCGTCGTCGTCGTCCTCGCCGCCGCTGCCGGACAGCGCCACGACCGCGGCCCGACCTGGGCACTCGAGGAGCCCGTCTGTCTCGGCCCGATACTCGCGGTCCAGGTCGCTATCTTCGAACCGGAACTCTTCGAAATTGTTCCGGGGGTCCAGATCGCTGAGCGATCCGCCGCCCGAGCTGAGCTCCGACTCCGGGTCCGGCCGGATGTCAAGCTCCGCGGCCGTCTTGAGCTGCGCGTCCGCGATGTAACTGCCGTTGTGCGCGGCCGTGGCCGGTGACGATCTGGTGTCCGAGCCACCACCCGCCAGCACCACGGCCCCCGTCGTCGCAGCGCCAGCACCACCGTTGATACCGGCGGTGGTAATTGTGGTCGTGGTGCCGATGCTTTCGAACTTGCGAACCATCTGCGAGACACTGGGTGAGGTCTCGGTGGACGCGGTACTGGACGTGTCGTTCTCCGACTCGGTTGAGTCGCCGCCGCACCGCAGCAGCAGCGTCTCGACCGTTTTTACGATATCCGTCTGGCCGTCCTCGTCCGGCTCCGGGATGTGCGTGGTCTTGCCGAAGTGCACCGTTTTGGCCGACGGGTACCTGTCCGCCTTCTTCAGCGCCGACGTGATCACCTTGCCATTCTGCTTCACCGACGTGAACGCCTGAAATACTCGATATCAATATTCCGAGCAAGCACGCAATGGGGGGGGGGCAATGGGGCGTATAGAACCTAGCACCATCACCATCGATGTTGGGCGTTCGGATACTTGCAACTACTGCGTGTAAAAAAATTGTCAAATATTTACATGTCTAACTCGTAAAAAGAATAACATTAGTTTTTATTATAAGGCGTAGAACGGTCCCACGGATTTGTAAGGTTAGACATTAGGGGACATGGTGGTGGTGGTGATAGATGCTCGACTACAAAAATGAATCGTTTAAAATGTAATTTCGGTTACTGAACGCGCTTTTTATTACAAATATTTCTATTTGTCCATATTTTTTTTTTTTTATCAACACCCGTCAGGTTTAATGGTAGTATGTGTTAGTAGTTTTTACACAACTTTGTGTACGTGGCGGTTTCCCATTGCCATCCGCCCTGAAAGCGTGGAACGACTGCTGTTCACCTGCTGGGACACCTAATTTCCTGAAGATATATGTCCGTATTTCAGTTATTTAGTATTTTTTAATTGTTATTATCTTCGGTCATTTATAGTGCACTTCCGGTTTTCGCAAATACGTGCACTTTACAGTCAAGGTCGTGGTCGACCTCGAAGGATCGGTGTTTCGAATTGAAAAAATACGATTTCGATTCGATTTACATTGAACGTCTGTCAAACCAACTTTAACTATGTGAAATAGTCGTTTCGAAATCAACATTTTTTACGGGTCGTAAGTTCGCCAACCCATGAGCGTAGTGAATCAATAATAACAACCATGTTGTGTTTTCTGCAAAATGCGTTAGTTCATGTAGTGGTGCTCAAGGGCTAGCTTTTTATTAGATTTATAATTTTGCGTCCTGTAATCAATTACGGGAATCTAATTTCAATAACATTAATCAACGGAAAAAAAAAACGACGGTAAGAATATATCGAATTTCGCTTTGTGACGTCCTTGTCATTTATGGACATTGAGCTTAATTTAAAAAGAGGTGTTATTAAAAAAATATATATACTCGTATATATTAATATAACCTATACAATATAAGCCCCGGGTACAATATTATTTAATACACAATTAATTTTATTCTTACGATTAAAATAAACGTGTCAATCGTTTGATTTAAAAATATAATACTAAATCGTTTTACACCGATAAATATTTTAATCTTATTGTACATGTAGAGAAAATAAAATGAGAAACCATGTGACCGAGATGACTCAAAATATTATCAGCAACAATGTATTGAAAGTTCACTCAGTTACTCGTTTGATTTACATTGGGTATAAAAAAAAACCCGGCGGAAGACACTTTTAACTTTTAATCAAAAATATCAATTGCCTTTAATGAGCACTAATTTAGTAAAAATATTTCGAAAACTGTGACATGACTATTAAATTCTGCTATTTGTCTATTAGAATAATACATTACAAAAGTACTAGAAAATGTTCGAAACCTTCATCACTATTGAAGTTTTTAGTAATTTATTTCCTATTCTCTTAAATGTTCGGAAAACCGTAGAGAAATTTAAAAAACGATTTTTTCCTATGAAAAAACGAATATTAGACTCGCCCGTAGGGCGGAGTGGGTAAACAGAAAAAACAGGACACCAACGTGCATGCACACTTGTGGAATAAAATACGTAATATTAAAGCTTACCTGTTTGGAGACACCGTTATACGTGAAATCGTTTTTCGAGAAAATCGAGTTGGACACGACGAACAGGTTGTTGTTGGGCGTCGGGTTGGGAAACGACGCTATGTCGTTGAGCGACAGATCCGTGACGGTCTTGCTGTACACGTTCTTGTTGAAGTTCACGTTGGTGTTGGGGTTCTTGTTTTTCGCTCGCGCGTCGACCACGGGCGGCGGCGGACCCGCGACATTGGTCTTTCTGCTTGCCGCGTCCAATTTCGACGGCACGACCGCCGGCCACGGACCGTCGTCGGTAGGCTTTTCGCGTGGGTCCGCATCGTTGCCGGTGTTTCTCGCTGGCTCGCCCGACTGATGTGGTGTGATGCACGTGATGAGATCCGGCTTCGATGGCGGTGGCGGCGGCTGTTCAACGTCCTCACAACGGCTGCAGTGCTGCGCCACGGTCTGTCGCAGCTTCGCGATCTCCACCTGCTGCTGCCTGATGACCGCGTCCCGTTCACCCAGCTGCCGTCTGATCTGCCGCTGCTCCTTCCTCAGCCGCGACTCGAACACGTACAGCGATCTCAGCACCTTGCCCAGATTGTCACAGCTCGCCCGCCGCCACTCCAGCAGCTCGTCCACCGTTCTCCGATCCACCCTCGGCGAAAGTTCGACTGCGGTCCGATGCCGTTTCGCGGCGGTCCGCCCATTCGGCGCGCCCTTCGTTCTGGACAATGCGTTTTTCGATCCGGCTGCAACGTTGTCAATCTGAAACGAAACGACAATGAACACCACACGATTATTGTCCGTTCGGCCCAGCAATTACCGTTTTGTCCAAAGTCAAATCGCGTTTGGTAGTAATCGTTATTAAAACACGGTATGTTTTCCAAGACAAACGACGGGGCTGATATTGATTTTATGTGTATATCAGTGGCATATACAACATTTTTTTCGGGAGTGACTACTATAGACAGAGTTAAATTACCACTGCTATCTAAGAATTACTTACAAGTAGGTTACTTATCTATATTTCATTTACAGAATGTCCCTAAACGATTTTACATTGAACGCAAATTCTAAATAAGTATAAAGCACCATTAAAATATAACATACGTTTAAAATAATTTCTAAGTTTTTTAAAACATTTCGGGGGGAAGGGACTATAGCCTCTTCCCCCGTTAAGTTAGGTGTATATACAACAGGCGCGAGTTTGGTGTTTTTTTTCTTTTTCAAAAACACTTATCAGCGATGAAAAATAATCTTTTAGAAAAGTTCAATGCACAGCATCATCTCTATAAATTGAGATTTGATTTCAACTCTTAATTTTTTTCAATTCTTATTCAATTTGGTAGGAATCATGTGAGAAAAAATATGTGACAAAATAGTGAGTATAAAAGTAATCAAACAATAGTTTATAGTTATCATTCATCTTAACCGTTTTTCAACAAACCGAACAGCACACTATAAAATGGCTTCCTACTCGAAATATGTTTTTTGTGCGATGATTTTCCAGTTCCTACTTGAAAAATTAATAAATGTCACTTTACCGTTAAAGCGTATTATTATATTGGAAGCAGTGGGACGTAAACATAATTTTGCCATAGCGTGAACCACGCTAAGCAGTGGATATAATCATGTAAAATATCACTTGTCCTTCGCAAATATAATAAATATTTTTTTCCCCTTTTTTTCGGGTAAATAAGATTAATCTTTTAGGATTAAGAATAATAAATCTTAGATGCGTCCATTTTTGAGATAACTAGGTCACTTTTAATTAGCGTTCATAGAATTTCATACATCACGCCACGGTTTTTGTCAAAAGGCGACTGAAATATTATTATTATCATTAATATTGTCGTTACGACGATAAATAAATAAAACATATCCGATGGAAATAATAATTAATCTCTTTTAATGTTCTCGTGGCAACACCAAGTCTCCTAGCCACAATTATGGTATAATACATCGCGCGCAGCGCAGCTCGAACCGTTCTTTGGGAACCCAACAACTTTACGAACAACAACGGTACGAATAAAAACTGTGTACTGCACCGACGCGAATAAAATACTTATCGAACATTACAAAAGGTTATTGTGCAGCGTTGAAAATCACGGAAATAAATTTTTCGTCCGCTAACACAATACACGTATGGTATAAGATATATTATAACTTATCATAAATGGATCGCGGTGCTCGTGTGTACTACACGTAAAGCCACATTCATCATAAATCGTAGTATAGAATGATTCGTGTGTGCCTATGCACACTGAGTGTCTTTGTGCACGCGCGTACGGTATGGACTGCGCTTTCTCTCGCTGATGCAAACAGATGAACGAATAATAATTATTTTACTTGAAAAATTGGAGAAGACAACGATCGCACATTCCGCGTGAGCCATTACAATTTATTTCAGAATGACGTGCTTAAAAAAATAACAATACCTATATCTAATAATCTAATACGGATTTTCGCTAACATAACGTCTTGATTTCTATTATACCTGCCGTACAGGTTACAAACCGTATTTCGAATTACAAAAGAGATACTATTATGTTATTCGGACCGTGACGATAGCACTGCCAGAAATAATAGTTTCGGCGTCTCGTGCGTCCACCAATTAAACTAGAAACCGTTTTCGTATTTAAAATAATTAACGCGATTTTTTTTTCATTAACAGGCTCCACCTTCAACTCCTCCTTCCTTCATGTACCATACATACTCGTATCATATTATGATAATGCAATTTCAGGTAGAAACCTCTTAAGAAAAAAATAAAATAAATCGGCGTTGATAGTTTTTTCTTTACTTAATACTTCTTTTTTCCCTTTTTTTTCCAACCAATTCCCAAAGATAGCTGGTATATCACATTACATAGCCAAAACCGATTCTTGTAACGTTTTCACGAACGATTAGTCGCAATCCCATTCGAAACAGAGTTCTTTTTCAAACAATCTAAACCTACCGAATAAATCAAATCTGAACACATACACGCAATAGCTGTAACGTACGAATTAAATGCACCGTATTTCTTGTGCGTACGTATGTGTTTAATGGTTTGGTGCGTTGCATTTATTGCCAATTATAGGCGGCTATGGATATATTGAACGTCGAACCGCTCTTCAAGAGCAAGAGCACGCGTGTATTAAGTAATATACGTATGTGACAAACGTTATGTATTATTTGTGTTCATACGCCGATTAAAGTATAGTGATTTATATTATTCACAACTTTGACAACCGATTATTTAATGATTTATCGGTTTCACATAAATCCTTGAATAAAACCGCATAGGACGGCAAAGGATTCGGATCGAACGCTATGCACACTGACCAACGATTCGCAGTGCTTTGTTAATTTTTAACAAACATCACTGATTATTTTCTCGATCCGTGGTTATATTTTTTCGTAAATATTACTTTTATCCAATACATAATTAGCGTCCTATTGGGAAAAAATGGTTTTACATTTAAAAAACACCAGTATACGTTTTTAATTTCGTACTCTGAAACGGAATATTTTCTGGTAATATCAATGAACGAACATCAACAAATATATAGTTTTTAATCGATTATTGCAATTGTTATTCAATGTGTGTAAAGTTTACTCGAGCAGAACAATACCCTTACATCGGGTAACCCCACAGCCGTCACTCCACATCGTTCGCCAGTGCCCGACTTATTTTTTATTTGTATATACATACGTCGTCGTTTTCAGAAAAAATAATTTACTTCTAGCTACGAAACGGAAATTACATGGTTTTACTTGAAAATACATTCCAAGTTTCGCACAGCATTTAAAAACGTTTTACAATTACATATGTACAATCGAAAAGTAAAACGTAATTTAATGCCACAACATTGTAGCACAACTGTATGATATCATGCAATTACATCAAATTAAAACTATACGATAATTTTTCCAGCCACCCATCCACTGATGAAAATAACACATTTTAGCTTAACCACCTCGTGTGTAGTATATTATTAATACGGATTATAGAATGAACAACCTTTGTTAAACGTTGCAATAGTTGTCGAAGCTCGCTAATCTTTGGATAGTGAAAAAATAAAATTAACTCGAGGGCTTGTAACTTAAATGTTTTTATTTACAAAAGTGTGATAAAATAATATTAACAATACGCGACTGTTGACTTTTACTAAGTTCACTTATACCAGAGGATTGATGAGTGAGAGTTTGAGTTGTGAGGTGAAAATCAGAGTCTACACGTATCATATGGCATTCCGTCGTCTAGGGTAGGAGTCTCTAAACTAAGGAGCCGCCATTTGCTCTCAAGTGACTTAACCGACCCTCCACCCCAAAAAAGATCGGTAAGTAATCTAAAAATAAGTGTAGAATTCAAAATCATTATCGCGCACGAATTTTAATTATCATCTGTATCGGCTGTATCATCATTTTGGCCCGCTAAGAGATTTGATATTTTTTTCACCCTCGAATAAAAAAGTTAGAAGACCCCTGCAAAAGAACAATGATTATTCCGAGTAAGTCCGATATTTTTTGAGATAAACAAAAAACTGACGTCGAATGGCGATTGTACCGTCTTTTACGGTCACTATTTGGGTGTTAACACATATAAGCGATAGCGTGTTCTGTGACAGACCTCACAAAAGCCAGAATTTTTTTTGCGAAAAAATTGCTATACTACCGATAAAACAAAAGCAAAGAAAAATATATCTAATTCAATAGGTATGCTTCTAATTCACAGATAAATTGGAGCGTAACCATGATTATATAAATCGTGTAGAACTTAGGATGGCCAACCACTCTATATTGGTCAGGAACGTCCTACATTCATTTGATTTGTCTTACGTCCAACAATGCTTTAAATTTCTAGAAGGATAATCATTGAAAATATACCTATTTAAATTTTATTATTATATTTACATTTATATTTTGTATTAATTTCCATGATAAACTGTACGTTGAAGTTAAAATTATTAATAAACCAATTTATTAAAAGTGATATGAAAAAAATGTATTTGATGCTTTTGTTAGTTATCATTGTACTATATTCTGTTGGTTGCAATATAGTTTATTAAACTTTGCAGTATATTATTTGACTATTAGCCATGGGAGGGAGCATGAAACATGCCTTCCATTGGATGTATTGTTTATATATATATATATAACCAAAATAAATTGCTTAAGAGGTGGTATTTTAATTTTTTTTAATTTTGTATACTTTTTTTTTTGGTTTTACTCTCCTCCTAATTATAAAATCCTACGGTTAAATCTACAGTGACAGCAGTTTTACCGTAGTCTATATTATCCTTATATACTTCCATATAATCTCAATTCGGGTCGTAGACCCATTTGCGCTCGGTTTATCAACAATGACGTATCGATGGCCTTTCGAAATCAATCACGTTGTCGTGGACGAAGCTTATTATTCACATACTATATACTCAAAAATAGGAGTGAATAACCTTTACGTAGAAAAAAGTCATTTTTCTAAAAAATAAATAACAAAACTGTGATATCCAATAAGCGAAATTTTTACGAATAACCTATTTTTTCTCTTCTTTTGTTCAGCTATCCATATTCTAATTAAACTTAGTTTCAGTTCCTTAGTTTTTACACTTTTTAGTTATTTGTCCTTGTTAACTAATTACATTAAAAATAAACCCTGGCAATCCATTAAGCATCGGTCGTTAATATATTTTAAAACCGTGTTTAGAAGGCAAACGTTGATTTATAAGTATATCGTTTCTACAAATATTACTAATATATTTCTCATAATCAATACTGAA